GGCAAGAATACGAAGTTTGGCCTCTCACTGAATTAGAAATGATCTCAGTTTGATATATTTAAAATGGAAAACTGATCATCCTGAAATGAGAATCAAAATTTTATTCAGTTTTTGTTTTAAGCTGTTTGCTAAGACTTACTGGTTGTAACTGTTAATCATCTGATGGTAATTAAAATGATGATTGTTGATGGTATTCGTAATATTTTCTAATGCTTCAGTCACACTAAGGGAAATGGCGGCTGTGGCCATGTGCAATGAATATTCAGTCTCACTGCTTTTAAAATAGTTGCTTTGAAGACAAGGGCCAGGTCTGCAACCACTCACAATAAGTTACCATCTTATAAATGTCTTTAGTGCATTAAGACGGCAATAAAGTGGTGATAAGACGGAGCCAGTCTCCTATCAGTTTGCGATTGAATGAGGCTAGGTCAGCAGTTACGTGCAGTCTGTGATAATACACATTAACTATTTAGATTTAGAGTCTGGCCTCAAAACCTTTGTTACTTTGGGACAAATTCAGTTGCCTCAAGGCGCTTTATATTGTAAGATAAAGACCCTGCAATACAGAGAAACCTGAGAAACCCCGAAAATCAGATGACCCCCTGTGAGCAAGCGCTTTGGCGACAATGGGAAGGAAACACTTCCTTTTAACAGGAAGAACCAGGCTCAGGGAGGGACGGCCATCTGCCTCGACCAGTTGGGAGTGAACGGAAGAACAAAGGCATTCAGTAATCTTGCGTTTGTCTAAAAAATACAACCAGCTGAGTCGTGTCCCTATTGCAAAGAGATGTATCACAGATGCTTTGCACTCATTGCGCAGACTGACTCAGGCTGTTGTTGATCTGTCTGTGTTTATAAATCAGATAAATTAGATACTTTGCAGTCAGTCTGAGTCAGATTGTTATTGTTGGGAGACAGGTTGTCGCCCATCAGTCAACCAGTCATGTGAAAGTGTTCGCCTAGAGTTGGGGTGTGTTGCATGCTCAAGCCCTGGGCAGATTTAGCAGTAGCAAGGAAATTAGTGCCCCTTTTCTACTTTAGTGTGACTGAGACATTAATGAATCATTTATAGAAAAAAATTAATTTAGGCCCAGAATGGTTCCTTGAGAATTACCATATTTAATACCATGTCTTTAATACCAGAGAATCCAGGCTGACAAATAAATAAATAAATAAATAGATAATAAAAATAAAGTGATTAACATCTTAATTTAGCCAAGACGAAACAATGGCACAGTGACCCAACCTGTCTAGTGCATGAATTAAACATTGTGATCACTTGTATCAAAAATCTACACTGAGGTCTGAGACAAGAAGGACAGTAACCATGTTTGCATTCACAAAGATTTTAGGCCATTAACAGCTGTCTCAGTGCTCTGTGATGAACGTTAAGCAGATGGAAACTTTTTTAAGTAGCTGTTGTTGGTTGATTGAAACGCCCTTTCTCTAAAAGTGGAGAAAAGAAAGTAGGATGTAAAGTGAAGAGAACAGAAATGATGTAGATAGATTAGATTTCTTTGAGTGTTTTTACCACTGAAAAGTTGTTGGGAGACACTTGAGTTAAGAGCAGACTTCATTATCTTTGTTGCAGCTTGGTAGATGCTATAACAGCTTTGGAATTGGAATAGTATGTGGAGCTCATCATACTAGTATTTTAATGATTTAGTGATTTTCTTTTTTAAGACGCCTGCTTAGTAATCTATGAAGAGATACAGAGAAACAGAAACAGTAAACACAGAAACAAATGAATTGCAACATTACTCTGTGATGCTGTTAATCTGGTAATCGCTCATTTTAACCTTTTAATTGTATTTTGTAGTTGGTAAACCGGTGCCATCTTTCTCAAAGGACCAGATCGCTGATAAATACTCATGGCAGGGGACATCCCAGAGGTGTTTTTTCTTTGCATATGCAAGACAAATATGCAAATGAGTCATTATTGAGACTAAATAGAGATGGATTTAGAAGACTGTCAAGTGCTGAAAAACCACTCGTCCCTCTCTCCGTTATAGAAAAAATTAAATACTGTGTTTAAATTTCAGAGTGGGCAGTGGAGAGCCCTGAAGAAGAATACAGTGAAAGATACAGAGATCTCCATACTCAAACTCACATATACACCTCCGCTGTGTGCTTAGCCCCCACTGCTGGAGCGCAGAGAAGCTCCCATGTTGCCGTGGTGACTGCGATGGAAACAAGGGGCTTGTTCTTGACTGACGGCCGCTGCATTTGTTTGTTGTGTGTCAGTGTGTCTTCAGATGCACATGCATATGTGTGTGGTTCAGTCAGGCACGTTTCCCTTTTAAACACCACGAGTGGCCTAATTAGCCATTCATTCACAGTTGGTGCAACACAACACAAACAACTGGCTCGCTGTTGTTTATAAACGAACCAGTTATACATCAAAAGATCCCCCAAACAAATCCGTCTAAAATAGAATAACAAATTAATTTTTTTTTTCATAGAAAAGAAATTGGTGTTCTTTGTCATTTAGGACATTTTCAACCCCCTCATTTTTGTTCTGTGGCATAGAAAGGCTACTAATGAGCCTCTCATTGCCTCGTCTTGTTATTAAGTATTAATGTTCCTGTTATTTTTAACATGTGGAGACATCAATTTTGGGGTCATTATAGCAGAGGCTCAGACCCTCACAAAACACCTCTGACTGTCTAAAACTGTGTGCCCAGATGTTACTTTAAATAAGCAGAGGAGGTGGCAGCGATGACAGTGCCACTACTGGAAGGTTTTTACATTTGCCTGTGGCTGTGACAGAAAGCCTGTTGATCTATGCGTGTGTTAAGAAGGTTATATATATTTAACTATATTTTTGTGACATAAATAATTTCTTGTGAATCTCATTCCCTTCTCTTTTTATCCTGTGGAACATTCTTTTGTTTTATTTGTTGACTTAACTTTGGTTTTATATTTTTCTTTATATTTGTTGCTTTTGTAGGAGCTTTTCATCATCCCTGGTATAAATGTTCATTTCCAGTATACTGACGAATCAGGATTCAAGACGTGAACCAAACTTGTGACTTTAGCAGTGCTAGGGAATTTGGACTGCTTATTTAAAACAGTCATTTTGATTTTTTCACCCCTCCTCCTCCTCGTGTTGTAACACAGAAAATTAAAATAAATCTAATTTTCTGCTTAGTGACATGCTGTAACAGTTGTCAGGCCACAATATACAAATCAGCTGTTTAATCGGCATAATTCAGGTAAGCTTCAGTTTGTTGGACTCGGATGTTATTCTCTGCTGTTTGATTTGGGCAAGCAAAATAAATAAACCGCCATCCAAACATGAGGTCAGAATTGATAACTTTTTCCACTATTGATGGTAGATCTGTTGCATACCATAAATCTATGGTCGTTAACTGGCAGTTTTGAAACCATAAGCGTCTGATGAAACTTTAGCAAATGAACTTGTTTATTGTCCCAGTTAGCAGCTTATGACACTCTATTTATTAGTAAATAGAGTGTCACTTCTGGTTTTGGCCTTGGCTCGGTGCTGAATTTGTTGGTTTTCAGATTTGTTGCTATATAAATATAATTGAATTCCCCTGAATTAAATTATGGAGCACAAAGAAGTAGTAAACCAGCACATAACCCTGCGTAATAAAAGCAGTCTGTCACTTTTGGACATTTCTGTTCTAGTCGCACTTGGTATGGTATTCATATCCCTTAAAAGTCAGAAACTGGATTAGTTCATTTGAGTTTGACTATTTTTCTCAAACTAGCACATAAAACTATAAATGGTCTTTCAATTACCCCTTTCCAAATTTCAGTAATAATTGCACTATGGGTGGCTCTCAGCTGTTGGTGGAAAAATGATTGCTAAAGAATGCATGAATACGATATGAGGTTATTAATATTTATTAGCCTATTACATAAAAAACCATAATACTTCAACTTTATTGATCATTCAATCAATAGATTGTGAAATAAAATGTAAAAAATGAACCACAGCTAGCTACATAAAACTGTCGCACTCTCATCAGAACTTTCTTCTTTCTCCTAACTTATCACACTCTTTCTTTCTTTCAGTAAAGCTATTATTATCCACTTCTGGCAAATCATACACAGCATGAGAAGAGTGGCAAAGCACATGCGTAGTTAGCAAACATACAAGCGCACTCAAAGCTCTCAGTGCAGCTATATTACAGGAATAGAGTGTGTGAAGCATATGTAGGCTCTGTGTAAAGTGAGTGGGTGGCCGAAGCTGCAGATTGATGGGAGACCCCGTGCATACTGTTAAAGCCAGTCAAAAATCCTTTTCCCTCCCTTCCTTCCTCGCAATAGGAAAATTGAGGCTTTGGTCTTCTCTGGATATGCTGACTCTGTATTTGATGATGATGATTTTGTTTTTGTTCCTTAATTGCATCCATGCCGTGTTGTGCGTTTGTACTTGGATTTCATTAAGCCCTATGTGTTCAGGGTTGTCCTACACTTTCAATCTACTATTTCACCTGCTTTTGGTACAAATGCTGACCACATGCAGAACAACAGTTCAATAAATCTATTGTTTTGGCATAAGTTGATAAAAAACAATAAGCCCCACTAACCAAATTGATGTAGTCGTGTGTTCTGAAATATACTGGCGTGAAGACGGTACACTGCGTTTGGATATGCTTGTTAAACAGGATGCCTCAGCTGACCACATTCAGTCTGCAATAACAGGTCATCTATAATCAGCTTCCATTCTCCAATAAACACATATTTATATTTTCCATCTTAACAGCAGTGTATCTCATTATCATCTACCTCTCTCTGATAGCCACTTACTGCACCACGGAGTTATGGAATTGTTCCTGCATAGTGTCGCTTGCCAATGTGGTAAAATTACAGGCATTAACAACAGCCTATTAAAGCTACAATTGCATCGCACTGCTGGATTACTTATTGATATTTGGCAGAATTGCAGCATTAAAAATGTTAATGTAAACATAATAAATTCTGGGGGGGCGGTAATAAAAACACAATAAAGAGAAAGATCAAACAGCATTTATTATCATCTTAATATAATTTATATTTAGATAAAACTAAGATTGACAGTTAAGTGTAGTGGTGCATACATTAAACAATGGATTTAGTGTATACATGCACAACTCTTGCAGAATAATCAAGTTTGCTTTAAGCTCAAAGTTTGTGTTTTCTGGTTGTGTGTACCAAAGCGTAAATTAATAATAGCATAGCCTCTGCTAAGCACAAAATCACAGTAATTCCAGTAAAGATTTAGTCTCAAGAAATAAAAATGAATAAACCTCTTGTTTTTTTTGTTTTAATCAAAGCCTCCAAGGGTAAAGTACATCTTTGACTCTTCTTTTCATGTGTTTGTGGTCAGAGGTCACTGTCTGTATGTTGTTATAGTCCAGGACTGTCTGGATTTCAGCGGTCGGCATTCATCTTCCTTAGCTTTGGTGGCAAGTTATCCTCCAACCTCCCACCGGCTGAAAGAAGTGGGCTGTGCATGGGAACCGGAGCAGGGGACAGCGTGGATGGCAGGCTGTGTTGGTACAGGTCTCCAGTTGACTGGGTCATGGGTTCAAAGCCCACCTTGAGAGACTTTAACCCTAGACGATTTGCTGCCTCGGGGCCAGGTGAGGAACTGAGACGTTGCAGCTTTAGGGGGAGGTCTCCGGTGCTGCAGGCCTTCTCTGAGTGCTGGGAGCTAAGCATAAGCACTTTCCTCTGAAGGTCCTCCTTCCCCGATGAACTCATCCTCTGCAATTTGCTTGGAAGTCGAACCCCAGTCCCTACATGATGGCCCCTTTCCTCAGCAGTGTTAATACAATCCACAGAAAACACGCGGTCACGTCGGGCACCGTGGCTCTCAGTCAGTGCGGGGGTAGGAGTAGACAGAGGCGAGGGGAGAGAATTCTTCTCTTCATGCTCCTTGACACTGTACGGTGGTGTCGGCACCTCGAACGTGCTGTGGAACTGAGAGTAGTCGACCCTGAAAAAACCCTCTTCCAGGGACATTACTGGTAGGAAACGATGGCCCCATAAAACCTCATCCTCAGTGTATGACGTTCTTGCCTGGCATGTCATACCTAGAAGAGAGTGACGGCAGTAATAATTTTAATAACTGCTATTAAATGGGGTTTCAGCAAAACAATCATAGGCTGATAACGAGGAATCTGTAGGATTGGCATCACTGCATGCTATCTCTTTTCTCTCTCCTTTATTTCTTGTGATGACAGCTTCATGCTTTGCTCTGTGTGATTATCCAGTTCAGTTTAGTCACGTACTAGAAGATTTAAAATAAACCCACATGAAAGGGCTATTGCATTTCCCAGTTCATAAAAGTAACAAGAGGCTTTTACACCCTAATGTTTTTATTTTCAAAGCTTGCCATGTTCCAATACTGATGTACTGTAATGGAATATGTGAGATGAAGATCATATATATGCATATATTTCTTTCCTGGATTTCATAAGCTTTGTAAGTTTATCTTTCCTTGATCTGGTAAATTATTTTCACATTTTCTTCCATTAATAGTGGCTAAAGTTGGCAGATGGTTTAGGCAAAGCTGGTTGTGATAATTGCTCATTTAAATCTGATCATCGTGATGCTCTTACATCAAAACAACATGGCATGTGTTCTGTCTTTACTTGTCTTTATTTAACTCTCTGTGTTGATTGCAGCTTCAGTCTTCGGCCAGCTAGAAGAAAATCATCTGTTGGCAAACTGGGATCAGTTTTCATCATGCTCTGGTGGAGGGCCTAAATTATAGATGATGTATTAAGCAAAGATTTCTAGTAATGGGGGTGCCTGTGCGTCTGCTTTGTGTACACGTTTTCCATTTGACCTGAGGCTTGTAAAGTAATTTTCTTGACTTTTGGATGTTTGTTGGAGGTCATTCGTGATCAATAATCACTTAGTTTGAGTTTCTTTTCTGATCCAATGGCTTTGCTACAACCTGAGCTCTTCTGTGAAACACTACAGTTGGCTAAAGAGTAGGAGTCTGATCCAGTCCCTCTGAGGGATGATATGTTCTGTGTTATGTCATAACCTGATGCTATTCCAGGCACACGACTCATCTTCATCCACAGAAACTCTTCACCATTTCTGTATTTTTTTTCTAATTGCCTTAAGGCTCAGCTTTAATTGCAGTTGCAAGTTTAGGATAATTTTCCAGCATTTTCTCCTCTCTTACCAGTAAAAAATTGAACTTCAGTTGATTATAGTTGCACAAGACAACAGTAATATCAATGCAATGGAAGCTTTTGGGTCGAGTCTGACAGGCATGCTAGTTAAGGTTCATCATTTAAGCATACTTTAGGTATTCTGGTTAATGTCTACTGCTTTTTGCATAAAAATAAAAGCCCTCGGCACATCAAGACTTTATGTAAAATTCCTGACACTGGCAGAGGTTAGAGAGTACATCAACTTCATTTGCTGAGTGTTATGTTAGGGTCAGCGAATTTACATAGTTGCACATCATCTGCATATTGTCAAGGGGCAGCCTAAAGATGGAGTCAATATACCATTAAAAGGACAAAAAAAATCTTATGCCATGTTGACTGCCCTTTAGTTTTATAGTTTCTTATATAGAGCTAACAAATTCTGCCATTCTCAGTTTTCATCTCATTAGGTTGCCAGAAGTCAGCACCAGCATGGATCTTGTGTGATGCTGGGTTCAAGCGACAACCCATGTGATCCTGTTCTATTGCCACACAGAAGAAACTAACTATAACTCGTTGTTTAAAATCAGACCTAAACGAGAGCTTGGAATTGATTTTAGCTGTCAGAATTTTTTTTTTATCAGCAATGAAATTAAGTAGTTTTGTCACATTGTTGAAAACAGAAAAAAAAAATGCCTTGAAGACACAAACTAAAACTGACAAGAATTAGAGCCACTGCATGGTAATCTGTCAGGTCTGGTTGAAACAAAGTGAATGAGTAGGAGAGACGATCAACCAGCTGAACAGCTGTGTCAGCAGCAGCTGGATATACCGGGAAGCTGTTAATGTGTTTGGGGTAATGGGATGTGGGTTAGTGTGAAGATGCACATACGTAAATGACATTTAAAAAATATGCTTATTTTTATTATTGTTATCATTTTTAAGCATTCCTTTTCCATACAGTTGACAGCATATTGTGGACAATTGTAGGTGACACTTCCAGGGCTTTCCTCTTCTACTCCTCAGCTCCGAGTGCTGTGCACTGCGACACTAGACTTCTAGCTGCACCCTGATTTAATGGTGTTATCAACAGAGCACAGCCGTGTTGCCTGCCTGGCTTCTCGCTTCCCGCTGATCCTTCCCTTCTGCTCTAAGCCTATTCAGCTCCATGGTTTCTCCTACAACAGTGACACAGGCAGGGTTATGGGGGGATGCCTAGAAGCACGGCTGAAAAGAAAAGAGGAGGATGGATTTATTTGTATTGGACTTTTGGGATGAATCATTGTGTTAAATATGCAACAGAGAGATCTGTGTTGTTGCTGAGGGTACTCCAGCATGGCTGCCTGTAGCGTACAGCAGCGGCTTTATACCAGTGTCTCACACCCTCTGAATTACTTCTGCGCTCAGCTGTCATGTGAAAAATAGAGTGGAACTTCAACTAAAACCTCATTCATCAAAGTGACACACGCATCTATGACCACAGGGTTTTATTATGCATAGAGTAGACATAAACGAATTCTGCAGAAATAAAATATCCCTTGAAATTCAATCAGTGCGTCATTCTCATGTGTTGATGTCATCCTTGGTTTCTCCAGTTCTCGTGCTGTTCAAATATGCCAAACTGGGAAGGTGGGGAAATTAGATTCCAGATTATGAGTATCTATTTGATAGGAGCGTTATGTGGCTTGTTATTAATGTCGGACTTTACATTTAGATTGGGAGTGAGTAAAGTGGGGAGAGAAAACAAACAATGGGAATGGGGAAGGACACAGTTTAAAGAAATGACATGTAAGATTGCTCACCGGTAGTTTCAACGATGCCCTCGAGGATAACGACAATTTCAAACTGTTCACTCATGAGAGAGCGCTGGGATAGGTCGAAAAAGGGGCTCTTGGGATTAATTTCATGACAAATGGTGAGAGGGGATACCAGAAAGAGCTGGTCTGCACCCGTTCCAAAGCCTACATCCAATTCGCACTGGTCCAGAGGCAGGAACTCGCCCTCAGGTGTCTGACGAGACTGAAAGATAAAAGTCACACATAAGTAGACGGAGACAGAGGAAAGTGTAAAGAAAGCGAAACAAAAAGGTACAAAAATAAAAGAAAGAGACAGGGAAGTGATAATTACATTCATGTAGTCTTTAAAAAGTCAATTGAGTTCTTCTGTCCACCTATAAATGAAATCTTTTTGTATTCTACTTGGTACTTTATGACAATGTTAAAATGCCCAGTATTACAAGTCCAATGGAAAAGTGTGGCAAGTTAAGTACCTCATTTGTAATTGAGCTGTATATGAAAAACTATTTAAGCTGCTTTAGCATGCTTGCACTTTCTGCCCATCTGCAAACTGCTTTGCAACCCACTTCTGCTCCAACTACTCCTTTCATGCTGTTCTCAATGCTGCCTGCTTTCTCCTGTGCTGGGTTTTGTAGTTGATGTCTACCTTCAAATCTAAAGGACAGCAGATTGAAATAACATCAATTAATTCGAGTATAGTGGTCCAGACTCAACTGATATTTTAAAAGCAGACCGATAGACTATAGAAATATTATTACTTTCATCTAATTAATAAGTGTTCCAAAATTTCATGAGTCAAAAGGTGAGAAAATGCATTTCTCTTAAAATATATAACTCTCTCACTCTATATATAATCCCTCACTCTCTCTCTGTGCTATCTTGTTTGCCATGTCCACAGACTTTGCGCTTCACATTGATTTCTAGGAGAACTTGCAGGCAGACGTATGAGACAGCTGTGTTTGGACAGGACTTGCCCACAGAGCGTTAACTGGTGCGGAAGCATTTAATTGCCCAGATGATGTTAGAGCTCAGCACCGGGGTCCTGGATGTGTTTTCTTCTTTCCTGTCTTATTCTGTCTAATCAATCTGTTCACCTTTTCTCTTCACATTTTCTCAATTAGCAGTCTGTTTCACCTGTTATTACAAAGTCTTTTAAATTTCAAGACATTTTCTGACATCCTGCTGCAAAAAGCCTTTCCGATTTTCAAAAGCTTTAGGGTGGGCCATTTATATGGATACACCGCAATAACATGGGAATGGTTGGTGATATTAAAGTCCTGTTTGTGGCACATTAGTATATGTGAGGGGGCAAACTCCTCAAGATGGGTGATGACCATGGTGGCCATTTAGAAGTCGGCCATCTTGGATACAACTTTTGTTTTTTCAATAGGAAGAGGGCCATGTGACACATCAAACTTATTGGTAATGTCACAAGAAAAACAATGGTGTGCTTGGTTTCAATGTAACTTTATTCTTTCATGAGTTACTGTATTTACAAGTTTCTGGCCACTTATAAAACATGTTCAATGTGCTGACCATTGTCTTGGATTGTCAATGCAACCCTCTTCTCCCACTCTTCACACACTGATAGCAACACCGCAGGAGAAATGCCAGCACAGGCATCCAGTATCCGTAGTTTCAGGTGCTGCACATCTCGTATCTTCACACCATAGACAATTGCCTTCAGATGACCCCAAAGACAAAAGTCTAAGGGGGTCAGATCGGGAGACCTTGGGGGCCATTCAACTGGCCCACGACGACCAATCCACTTTCCAGGAAACTGTTCATCTAGGAATGCTCGGACCTGGCACCCATAATGTGGTGGTGCACCATCTTGCTGGAAAAACTCAGGGAACGTGCCAGCTTCAGTGCATAAAGAGGGAAACACATCATCATGTAGCAACTTCAAATATCCAGTGGCCTTGAGGTTTCCATTGATGACGAATGGACCCACTATCGTTGTACCCCATATACCACACCAAACCATCACTGATGTTCGACTAATGCCACTCTCCAGTGACATGCAGCAAGTGCTACGCTGTGGGCTCTTGCTGAATGAAGCTAGGATAGCCACTGATGTTTCTTCATTAGTGAGTTTTCTTGCGTCCACATTTTGGCAAATCCAACACTGAACCAGTTTCATGAAACTTAGCAAGCAGTTTGCTGACTGTAGCATGGGAGATGGGTGGTCTCACAGGGTGTCTTGCATTGAAATCTGCTGCAATGACCCAGTTACTGCATTCACCAGATATCAACACAATTTCGATCTGCTCCTCACGTGTTAACCTCTTCGACATGTCAATGGCTGTGAACAAAGAGAAACTTGTAAATAACTCATGAAAGAATAAAGTTACGTTGAAACCAAGCACACCATTGTTTTTCTTGTGACATTACCAATAAGTTTGATGTGTCACATGGCCCTCTTCCTATTGAAAAAACAAAAGTTGTATCCAAGATGGCCGACTTCTAAATGGCCACCATGGTCACCACCCATCTTGAGGAGTTTGCCCCCTCACATATGCTAATGTGCCACAAACAGGACTTTAATATCATATCACATCACCAACCATTCCCATTTTATTACGGTGTATCCATATAAATGGCCCACCCTGTATAATTAATGTGAAATATTTTCATAGCTATAAAAAATGTAGGAAGGGAAGATAAAAACAGGTGTGGGTGGGGAAAAAAAGTCTTGAGCATCAAAGATTATTTTGGCAAAAATCCACATTTAAGATAATTAGGAACAATATCTTCTTTGGCATCGTGGAGCTCAGTTAAAGTCAGTTATCAAAAAAAGACGCTTAAACTCCTTTTAAAGTAAATTAATGTCATTAACTCCAAAGAAAATAATCTGCAAAAAGATGATTTTATTCTTTTCACAGATTAATTTTTAGATTCTTTAACATGACACCCTGCCTTCTCTACTCTTCTCTCTTTTTTTGGGTCATTGTTTTACCTCAAACCAATTATTTGGATGCGTCACTCACCAGCCACCCACCTAACAGCACACACTACTCCTCCACTTCAGCTCCACGCAGCTTCATAATGAACTCCCACACAGACTACCACACAGCCTCACCAGCTTCTCTGTAATGCTTTCTGCCATTTCTGGATCTTTTGTTCTTGTTGTGAATCTTAATAATAATCAACACACTATTCACTAAAACACAGTCCCCTCTTTCACCCCTGCCCGAAACACCAATGAAACTGGAAATTGGCCATTTGTAGGCTACTTAACACACCCCTAACTTAGCCGGGTCATCTGTTTACTGATCTAAGCCATTCTGTTTTACTCTGACCACTAATTTTGCTCTGGCTAGAATAGAAATTATCCACTGGAGTTAGCTAGTTAAGCAGATGCTTGCTCCATGATTTGGTTAAAAAGCCAGTCTGCAGACTCATTGTTGATGTTTTCAGCCCACTGGTCACCAGCTGATTGAAGAGCGCACATTAAATTAAAGACACGGCTGTTGAAATATATTTGCATGCTTAGCCTAAACACTTATCTAAGAGAAAGCTTTCTGCTTTCAACTTGCAATAGAAAAGGAGTGAGAGATGAAGAGGGGCTGTAGTGTTTGGAATGTAGCTAAAAGTAGCTGAAGTTGCAGATATGTAAACCTAAACCCTAAATCTGAGAGCAGACAGCTGCTGAAAGTTTCAGCATTCAGGGAATACTTCTGGTAAATGGTAAATGGACTGGTTCAAATATAGCGCTTTTCTACTCTATCTGATCACTCAAAGCGCTTTATACAACTAATTCTTTCACCCAATCACACCCATTCACACGAGCATTTTTTCTAAGCTGTTAAGTGCTCCCTATCTAACATTCATACACATTCACACTCCGATGGATCGGAGAGCAACATGGGGTTAGTATCTTGCCCAAGGATATTTTTGATCGAACCACCAACCTTCCGGTTAGTAGCTGATCTGCGCTACCATCTGAGCTACAGCCACCCCACTTCTTAACAACAGGGAAATAAATAATGATGTGCTATTTGGCCTTCAAATAAACCAGACCAGGTGATGTGCTGATGCCGGTCTTGCTACAGGTGCTCGACAGAAAACAGCAGTTGGAGACCACAGCACAAACAACCTTTATTGTGACTCTGTGCAATGAACTTGCAGTCATGTTTCCTTTGAAATGGTTGCTTCAAAAATGGGGTCTGTGACCACTTAGAGTCATTTGCCATCGTTAAAGCAACTGTGGTGCATTAAAATGGCAATAAAGTGGTAATAAGAGATTCCTGGTTGAAGGAGTCGAGTTTGCAATTCCATTAAATTTTTTTGTGATAACAGTGATAAATAGGTGGAAATTTACAAATCTCTTGCTGTCTGTTGCAATTTTGTTGCCATTTGCATACACATAGACTGCTTACATTCAGAGTCCAGCCAGAATCTCAAAGATTTGAAACAGAAATTAGTGATGTCATTGCTCCAGGACATCATTTTAACAGCCGAATCAGACAGGAACTCAAGCAGCTTTGCTTTCATGTAAGAATATAACTAGAATACGACCAGTTGAGTGGAGTCCCCATATTACATATATTGATTGCAGAGTGTTTGCAGTCTGTTATAAATCAGCAATTACTAGCAGACCTTCATTAGTCTAAAGGTGACTACAATCAGGCCCAATCCAACCACGACTGTTTAGAGACAGTCTACCTTTTACCAGGGGACCTATGCAACCACACTGCAATTGAAAGTGGCTGCTGTAGTACTTTTAGATTGCTAAATGTGAAGAAATTAATTGGAATCATCTAAAAACTACAAAGGAAATTTCTGTCCTCTTCTTTATTCTCCTGTGTCTGAGCCATTAGATGAACATGTCTTCAAGAGAGCTTAAACACATAAGCACACTTTTTTCATGTATAGTATAAAGTTTATGGAATAAAATACACTTTGCTTGAGCGTTTCTCTTGGTTTTTGGTACCTTCTTTAAATGTGATGAAGTTTAAAGTTAACTAGGCTATTTTTAGGCTAGCTAAGCTATAACTGAGCATGACGTGAATGTAGGTAATCAAGGCATTATACCGAATGGGAAAACAAAAGTAAAAGCAGAAACTGTTTATAAAATAATCCAAAGACGATACATCATATTTATCTGAAACACTGATGCTGACTAGTTTAACAAAATGTCATCAGGTAATTTTTCTGATGCATGCACATAGACTGCATATTAGTCTTAGCTAATGTGACGGTGCACAGAGATGGTTCTGC